CGCTGGGCTTTTTCTCGGGAATCAGGGTGTCCCCGGCCACGCCTGACCCAGGTACGGTTCAGAGTTCATGTCGAGGATGGAAAATGTTCAGCAAGGCTCGAGCGCAGTTATTAAAACTATTTGATCTCGGAGCAAAAAGTCGTGTGGGAGGGCGAGATCTGGAGCAGCTGGGACAGGCAGCCAGTGCCCGAGCAAGGAACCGCACGCGCACCCCAGGGAGCGTTTGGTTCTTCCAGTGCAGCAGTGGAGTGGCGGGGCATGGTGTACTGGAGGAGAGCTGAGGCCTGCGTTACGTTCAGCTTTTACTTCGGAAAATGACTCTTTTCGCGTGAGCTATGATGTATAAATTTCCATTTCAGATTCGTCTTTCAACTCAAGCCTCAGTTCACCTTGACTCTGAAATCTGTGAGCAGATTGGTTTCACGGGGTGCAGTAGCATTTTGCTGCCCATGTCGTGGCACTGCAGCTGGGTTGCTCGTGCAATAAGATTTGTTACTTCAGGTAATGAGCACTGGCGGAGTTTGGACTTTAGAGAAATAGGATGTCTTTTTGCTCATGTCTCTCAAGGGTGCTAGGGTTTTTCCTCTGGTTTTTGAATATCATTTGAGCTGAGAAATTTCATTCTTTTTCTGATAGAGATGCACTTCAGCAATGGAACTGTGTGACTTCACTGGCTTCGTGATTTGATTAAAATAGTTATGGGTATTTTTAACGTACCATGAGCTAAAATTGATCTCTATTCTGCAGTTCTAAATGTTGGTTAAATTTCAGCTCATTCAAAATCAAGGGCAAATCAAAAAGCTCTATCTTCAGTGAGGCAAAGAGCTGACTGAGACTCTGAAAAGGTGAAAAACATTGATCAGTGATCTAGTCTGCAATCACTATGCCTATAACTTCTCAGAGGGGGCTATCATGATGGTGGCTTCTTTTGTTGTTAGATTGTTTGTTTTTTGCAAAAATTCCTAATCTGTGGTCCCCATTTTGTTTATTTAAATGTGGTCAAGTACAGACAAAGATAAAAAGGGAGTCATATTTTGATATTATCCCCTAAAGATAAAATTTTTATTTAAAGAAAAAACTATTCTGGCCTCTGTACAGATTTTTTCTTCCACTGTATCCAATGCTGAAAAGTGATATGTCCCAAGGAGATCAGCTATTGACCACACTTACACATTTAGAAGTGTATCTCCCAGCTGTTCCTGAGAGGCAGAGCAGCAAACTTGTAGAAACACTTCACTGTTGTAACAGAGGTTCTTTGGTCCAGATATTTTTTTTAAAAAAATCTTTATTGAACAGTTTTAAAAGCAATACTTTGTATTCAAAATAGTGCTAGGTATACAACAAGGCATAATAAGCATAAATGAGAAATATTTGTATGATGTAACAACTGAATGTTGGGATATCAAGGCTTGGTGCTGGCCATGTGACCCATGCAAGACATTTAAGCTTTTTCCAGATCATCGGTTTGATTTGTGGAAAAGATAATTTTACCTACTATTTAGGCAGTGTTGTGGTGTATTCTACCACTGTGTGTTCCTGGGTTATATTTGACCCCAGGAAACTGTACTCTGGGACTTGTGCATGTAGTGGTTGCCTTGAGCAAAGTGGTAACAAATGGTAGGGCTTGAAGAAGCAAAGGAGACTGCCAGTAATCACCCGTGAATGCACTTAAGTGCATGAATTCACCTACGTGAAAAAGTCAGGAGAAAGCTGTGACCAGATGGTGAATTTTGCTCGGAGTGACCTGCCAGTGAAGGTGCCCTTGAAGGCTCAGGCCCTGCTGCTCCCACCAGAACTAACATTCACAGTATTAGTCCCAAAGATGGATTCATCCAGAAAGATGGTGCCTTGTACAGTGGGGCCTGAAAAAATGTCCTTGCAAAGAACAAAATCTGAGGTGCTTTTCTGAATTTTCTGTGACTGCAGCAGAGAGGGTGAAGGGCAGCATGATTTCCACCTAGAGACTTGGAGTTAATTCCTGCCTTTGAGAGGAGGCAGGAGCAAGGGCCCGTTCCATGCAACCGTAAGTAGCGCTTATGGCAAGTGTTTACAAGTAAGCTATTGTTAACATCTGTTTGGAAGCCTCTGTGGCTGTAACTTGTATTTCAGTGATGATTACGTCTCTCCAGAGAGGCAGAGCTTCCAGACTGGATGCTGTATTTAGGGTACTGGTGCTGCTAGTTATTCTGCCCCATATTGTGTGTTTGGGTGGTTCCAGCATTGCTTTGGAAATCCCAATGCAGAGTCTGTGTATGATTGAGCAGTCAGCAGAGAAAGAGAATTTGTAGTTTCTCTAAGTGTTTTTGCACTCATACCTGCCCCACATTCAGCCTTCATCTCTTGTTTTTTTTTTTCCCCAGGGTGTGACTGGAAAGGGAGCTGAGAAGGCACAGGCAGATCGTACTTCCCATGCTGAGAAGCATAGACTCATCCTGTCCACAGCAGGCAGGTATTGTTACCAATGTCTGAGACCATATTCCCAAGTGTGTGTGCCCTTTCAGCAGAAGCAGCATGTGGACAAGAAGAGCTTGTTACTGACAGTAACTGATTTCTTTTTCAAGGGATGAGAGAATGGGAAAATAACTGATTGTGAGTTTATCTAAAATTAACAGAATTGTCTCTTCAGGCAGAGGGCCCAGAAAGTGTTTTGGCAAAGGGGAGAAAGACCTGAATTCTGAGAATGTGTGGATACATTTGGCTAGAAAGATGAATATCAGAAGAGTCTCTGCAAAACAAGACATGGCAGTGTTTCAGGGAAAAAGAAGAGGCAAGTAAGTCTTCCTTTGCAAAATTTAAATGTTGGACTCTTCTGTTATGTTAGAATTCATTTAAGGTAAAATAAAACCTTAAATGCTGGAATCCATGGAGAAGGCTGCACCTACATTTCAGAACGTTACCAACTCTTAAGAGAACACTGTGGTAGAAGTAGGGCAAACGTTAGCAGTAGTATTTGAAGTGGTTTTCTATGGCCGTAGTTCATACTCAGTGAGCTGTGTTTTAGTATGGAGAGAGATGGATTCCATTGCTCTTACTCATGTTGAGCTGCAGTCAGTGGAACTAATTGCTGGATAAGGTATGCTCAGCATGAGGATTGGTGATGGAATCTAGCCCAGATGGAAATATCTTTTAAACTACTGCTGTATTAGCGAGCAGCCACCTCAACACAGGCAAATCTAGCATTTTGCTAAAAGTGCTTCAAGCCATGACTGTGGCACACTGAAGTATTTTTACAGGTGAATACAGAGGCTGCTACAAAGTGACCCTGCCCCCGTGCAAGGCTGAATCATGTTAACAGAAAGATTGGAAAAGCATCTGCATTGCAATTGTCTGTCCCGTGTTAGAACGCTAACAAAGTAGGTGGGCTAATGCAGTTTTGCAGAAGTGGCTATCTAACTGCAACAGTGTATAAAAGTTTACCAAAAATGCTTCATTGTGCAGTGTTCTTAATGCAGTTTTCTGACGTTTATTTTCATTCTGTGGGAGCGGAGAATACTAGCATACCTGTGTGGTAAATTGAGGAATACAATGTAAATGCGAAGGGCCGTTTTTAACATTGAACTAATTTTATTTTCAAGCATAATAGGAGTATTGCTTACAGTATTACATAAAAGTGTGAGACAATCTTTCAATGAAGATAACCCCAACTGCATAAAAGATGCTGTATATTATGACAAAAAAAAACCCGGAGCTGCAGGCAGCTGATCTCGCCAGTTGCTCTTCTTGGGTGACCTTGGTAGCCACCGTGCAGAAAGAGTGGCAGCCCTGTAGGAGATGAATGGAAAGAATTTGGACATCTCTGAGCTGTAACAAAGCTGGCTAAAGTAAACGCCTTAGGTGTGGTGGTGCTAATCATCCCCCTAATGGAATACTATCCTAATTGAAATGCAAGACTAATGAGTGGCCGCTCTCTTAAGATGCAATTCTAGTGAGATGTGCTGCTGAGGACCAAGAGAGGGACAGGATACAAGAAATAGTAGTATGTAGTAATACCACATAGGGATCTGTATGGTAATTAAAGCAACCGTCCTACATTAAGTCTGGATAGAGCCCTTGAGTTGGTGTCTGCAGTGACACTTGCAAATTACGCACTAGAACCTGTAAAGATCACATCTAATGAGAACCCCCAGTTTCTCTCTCATCTGCTTTCTGAGGACGAGAAAAGCCAACTGGGCAAATAGCTGTAGAGAAAATCAGCACATTGTCTTATTCCCACTGTTGGGGAAGTGTTTGCATCCTTCATCTTAGAGAAGTATACCACTAGAATTACCTGGGTGATAAGTAAACGAATTAGACTACTCATTTAAATTGTGACTATGATAGAAATAGGACAAGAAAACTTTGTTTTAGAACAAGTCATTTAAAAAATCCATTATGTTAGTATACTAGTTACTAATGTAAAATATCTTAGCAGTATAAAATATTCAATAATATAAAACTAAATCTTTATATTTTTTGCCACATAGAAGTTTCCATTTACTAAAGTTGTGTTTGTTTTTAATAAAAGTTATATATATTGTTAAAAATAATTTGCACCAACTAAACCTGTTAATCATTTAAGACAGAAGAGAGGCTTAAAGCTTTTGGCTTCTAGGAAGAATTGCATAGATGTAAGCACAACTAATCCCAACAAGCTAGGGAACCTTGCTGTCATCTAAACAAAATAACGGTATGGACTAGATTGAGCTGTGACTCAACAGAGGATGAGGGGACAAAGGGTATAAAGCAGGAGGAGCGATACAGCATCATGTCTCCTGAGTTCTGGTCTCAGGTCCACCCCTGTACGGGTCTGCCTCGGGAGCAGCCCTCTAGCTGCAGCAGCCAGGGTGTTAGAGGCCTTCCCTGCCCTGCTTCACCTTTGCTCCTGTCCCATCGTTGCCCTGTGGCAGCATGGTAGTGCAGTGTATGGTTGCATATATTGGCCCTATGCCGTTCCTGTGCTGGGAAGATTCTCTCTGGGGTCGCTTCAGACCCTCTGCAGCTCCTGCGCACTGCTGGAGTGGCGGGCAGGGGCTGCAGTGCTGGCTAGACTCTGGCTCTATGCCTGTTCTGAACTCTTTCTGCAGCCGGTCCATGAAGTAATCCCCAAGACTATTTCTGCCATCTTGGGAACAGTCAAGCCTGCGAGCGTTGGTCAGCAGATCTCCCATCAGCTTGATCTTCCGGATTTTGGGCTCGATAAATTGTTTCTTGATAGTATTTGCACTATGAGGGTCTGCATTTTCAATACTCAGGGCATGAAGCTCTTCAAAATACCGTATCATAGTTTTCCACTGTACCATCGCTACTTCCAGGGCTTTCACCAGACCGACTGCATAGTCACAGTTTGGTTTCTAAAAACAAAGACAGAATTGATTTTATTCAGAACAGCTCATCTTTCCGTATTCATTGATGGTTTCCTGCAACACACCTGGCACTCTAAACAGATGTGCTACAATTTTGCACCAACTCCTCCAAGTTCGGAGCATCTGTTGTTTTTTTGCAGAGTTGGATGACTGTAAATATACAGGAGTGGCAGAACGCAAGCACTTTTTCAAGGAACAGAGAATTAAATAGCAGTAGCTATGCCTGAGGAGCATTCTTACACCTGCAAACCCTAACACAGAATCAGAGCATTTGGGTTAGAAGGGACCTTAAAGAACACCTAGTTCCAACTCCCTGTCATGAGCAGGGATCCCTCCCACTAGACCAGGTTCCTCCAAGCCCTGTCCAACCTGGCCTTGGACACTTCCAGGGAGGGGCTTCCACAGCTTCTCTGGGCAACCTGTGCCAGTGTCTCACCGCCCTCAGAGTAAATTATTTTTCCTCATACCTAATGTAAATCTACTCTTTCAGTTTGAAACTGTTACTCCTCATCCTATCACCACACTCCCTGATAAAGAGTCTCTCCCCAGCTTTCCTGTAGCCCCCTTTATATATAGGATGGCCACTACAAGGTCTTCCTTGATTGAAACTGAATATTTAGAAAGTTTTCCAGGATGGCCTATTTATTTTACCTTCTACAGCTTAACAACTGCTATGATAGGCCAAAGAAGAACATTTTGTGTTAGCTATTTACCAAGTATTAATAGGGTAGAGAAAAATCAGCCCCTCAGTCTTTAATAAATGAAGTGGGGGGTTTTATTCCTTTGTACTTGTACAAGCCTGAGTCAGATCTCTCACTCAAATCCTATTTTGACCTGCCCTCCAACAGATCCACTACTGCCTCAAGGTGGATGTTTCCTCTACCTCTTTCCTTATCACCTTACTTAGGTGCTAATGGCTTCTAGGCTTCCATTTAGTTTCAGCGTGAAGGAGACAAGCAGGCTGCTTCAGCACAGTTTTAAGGAGTCTCATAACCCGTTACAGCACACTGGAAACAGCAGTCACCAGCAGACAGAAAGAAGAAGTGGATCATTGTTCATATTCTTTTGGGCTAGAAAACCAGAGTTTTAGAAAATACAGAGTTAGGACTGTATGACAATTTCTGGGGATCATAATCAAGAACAAAACTATGTACACTAATGTGATGGGGAAGTTATATTTGGAAGTCCAATAGTGGGCAAATGCAGAGATCTGAAGTACCAACAACATAATTCAGGAAGTTAGAGTGATTACTGCACGTTGCAACTGCTTAAAAGCTTGTTGTCTACTACCCACCTGGATGGTTTTAGAACAGTAATGGCCTCCTCTTTCTTGCTGATACTTCATTAAAGCCTCTGCAGCTTTTCTTTCTTCCAGAGCTTGATGCAAGAAGAATTTTGAAACATTTGGTAGAGCCACATGTGACTGATCAAAATATTCACCCTAAGAACACAGAACAGAAGTGTTAAGATTTGCCGGAGACAGGACTTGCAGCAGAACGTGGCTTTATCAGAACGTGGGAGACCCTTCTGGTGGAAGCTCTTCTACCAGGACAATCACTCTGAAGACCTTAATGCAAATTGCTGCAATAAACAAAGTAAGTAGCTATGGTCTTACATGAAATATTTCTATACTTATACTAGAACTCCTTCTGTCCTTTAATGCTGGTCAGATTAACCGTAGTACTGATGTTCTCTCTCAGTAGCAGTCAGAGATCCTCTGAATACTTAGGAGTGGTTGAGGGGTGTGAATGTTTTGCTGTTGTGTTTTGTGGGGAGGGGGTTTGTTTGGGTTTCTGGGTTTTGTTTTTCAAAATAGTCCGAGCACTGGGAACATAGCTTTATCCCTTTGGGTCATCATTCCAGTGAAAAGTGAGTTTTCAAGGGTATGAGGAAGACGAGGCAAATACCAAAAAGAAAACAAGCGCAACTTTGCATCTGTTTATCAGCTTCATTATGGATAATGAATATATTCCAAAATAAAGAATGTTGCTACTGAACTACACCATGCACACCTTTAATATTTGTACTCACACAGCTCGTGTCTAGGAATACTTCAGAAGTATTACAACCCTAAACCCACCGCAGGCCTCGTTCTGTTCTGCATGGGAAAGTAGCCACTGCGGTATTTAACTACGTTAGCAGAACTGTCAGCTCTTACATTAGAAGAATTGTATCCATGGTCTTGCTGCCCCATAAAGAGAATGTGTTAGAGACAGGTAGTGAGGGAGAGCCAACAGGTTACACTTGTCTCAACGCTGGCTCTGCACAGCTCCCACATTGAGGAGAATGAGGCAGCAGCTGGGAATATGCCAAGAATGTGCATTTCATAACCATGTCTGCTTCTTATTGTTTTCCCTGCTTTCATCTATTAGCCTGCTTAAATATGCAATGCTTGTGTTTCATCTATGTTGCTCCAATTAGGGAAAAAAACCAACCCCACATAGAAAAGTCAGATACACAATGCAAGCTTATGGTGGTTTTTTTTTCTGTTTTTATGGCCATCTGGGATGCCCCAAACCTGTAACGCACATACACGTGTGTGACCATAAACCATTCAAGAGAAAGTGCATGCTGGAATGTTTTATTAAGGACATTCATGGCATTATTTGCGTAATCCTTTCCCTGAAGTCATTCATCCATGTTTCTGTTGACAGAAGAGCCAAGATCTGTGTTTCGTAACCAGTTCCTCAGTGCAAGTGCGCTGCGTGACTTCAAGTAGAGCACCAGGTACCGCACCTGCTTAACTGTTAAGGTAAGTCTTTTATGCCATTCATTAGCTATTTAGGAAGTTCACATTTCTTGGTTTGATTTATCCGTAGCCAATGTCTAACTGAGCTTTCTCCATACCGTCCAGCTGCCCATCACTAAAGTTATTTTAATCCACATACTTAACAAGTAGCAGTTTTACTGCAAACTCAATTTTTTAATGGACTAACACTTGACACCAATCTTGATCGAAAGACCTTGGGTTTATACTGAATATACTTGGTGTTGCTCCTCAGCGGATGCTTGGCGTCAGAAGGCATTGATCATTCTGTTTTGTGATCTTAATGGCTTTGGTAAAAGATACGTTGCTTTAATATCTGATACGTAGCCAGACACGATGCGTGTTACACCACATCCCATCAGGGGGAATTTTTTAATTCATGTCCAATGCTCCTGCCTGGGGACCGAAAAATTCTAAGCTGACGGTGATGGTCACAAGCTGTTATTCCCCCAGTTACCCACGCACAACTATCTGATGCGTGAATGTCGGGGGAAGGCAGCGCCAGGGGTTACTGCGAAGCTGTCAGCGTGCCCGGCTCCCGCCCCCTTCCCGCCGGCTGGGCTCCTGCTCCGAGCTGCCCGAAGCCCGCGAGCGCTTGGTTCGCCACCCGCTCCAC